AACGCTCTGAGAGGTAAATCGGGAGTCACCTTTGAGTTGTCTCTATCATATGCTTTTGTCGTTGCATAGAATAAACATCGCTTTCATTATTGTAGTGAACATGCATTTTGAATTGTTGCCTTGAACATGCATTACCATGTTGCATTGAACATGCATTACCATGTTTGCCTAGGGCATGCATCTTGCATTGAGTATGCACTATTGACTATCTTGCATTGAATATGCACCGTTGTTTATCTTGCATTGCATGTGCATTGTTTTCATTCGTCTCGTAGGAGACATGCATGATATTACATTGTATCTATCGAGTTTCTTTCTCATAGAGGCACGATATTGTATGTAGGGTTCATTTGAAACAGGTGCAACCAAACGATAAGGTATGTATGGTTTATTCGGAGAAGTTCCGTTTAAGATTGATTATGTCTTGTGTATCTATCGCACATGCTTGATCACTTTGTATATCTATCACACGTTCGCTTTGTGTATCTATCACACATGCTCACTTTGTGTATCTATCACACGTTCGCTTTGTGTATCTATCACACATGCTTACTTTGTGTATCTATCACACGTTCGCTTTGTGTATCTATCACACCTGCTCACTTTGTATATCTATCGCACGTTCGCTTTGTGTATCTATCACACATACTCACTTTGTGCATCCATCGTACATGTTCACTCTATGTATCTATTGTCGTTAATCTCGTATGACTTGGGCATTGTTGTTTTTTCTCCTCGCGCGCGTGACAGGCTAGACCTTCTTCGGTTAAGAGTGTTTAGAACATGTTCTAATGCTTGTACCACTCCTTTTCCTTTCGCGTGCAACGCGTCGAAATCTTGTTTGAGACTTTGGATGTTACATTACAACCCTATTTGCATAATCATAAGTTATGCTCTTGCATCCTGCATGTCATTTGCATTTTGCCCCTACCTGGGGGTGCATCTGTTTTGTTATCTTACTTGTTTGTCTAAGTCTTCGGCCTTGTCAAAAATGGGTCGTCTCGGGGCTTTGACATTCGCTCCCGTCATTTCATGACTTCCGAATTCTGTCAAAGAGGGGCAACTGTAGACACCCCATTTCTGACTGACCTTAAGACTCATATGTCATCATTTGTGCACGTGATGATTGCACATGTTTGTGCTTGTTTTGAGTGCCCGAAGGTCTCGGCCGGGAGCCCTGTCTTTGAGCCTCTTAACACTTTGTTTTTTGCACTTGGTTTTCGGGCCAAACCTTGTAGGCCACTTGGAATGGTCGGCCGGCTAGGGGAGGTGGCCGGCCGACCACCTTAACTGGCCGATGGCGAATCTTTCTCCTTTTTAGATATTTTCAGATCTTTTGAGCCAGCTGTGGCTCACTGAAACTCATCCTCCTATGGAGGGATGGAGTAAACCTTTTGCTTGTCTCCCTATATAAGGGGAGCTCCCTCCCCCTATTTCAGGGTTCAGATTTTTTAGAGCTAAAATCCCTCTCTCTCTGGAATTCTCTCTCTCTCTCTCTATATATATATATATATTGTGCTATTTTCAGCCTTAAAGTGTGTTTTCTTCACACTTTTGCACTAAGACACCTAGTCAAGCACCTTCACATCGGGGTTGAGGTCCTTTGAAGCTTGATTTGAGGTCTTGGAATTGGTTTGGCCTCAGAATTGTTACCATCTTGTTGCTGTCTTCAAGGGTAAGCTACTTCCCCTTTTAAGCTTGTTTATTGTATATTAGTTTAGGCCACCTTTGTATGCTTATTTTGGCCTAGTTTTCAACTACAAAAAACTCTATTTTTGAGTGTTAAAAATGGTTGTTTGAGGCCCTGTGGAAGTTGGCGGTGTTTCACCCCCTTGTATGCCTTATTTGCTAAGCTTTTGGGCCATCCTTTAAAGCTTTTGGAACCATCTCATTTTGGCCCTTTAACCACTGAATTCCAGAAGAATTTCAGTGATGAAAAGGTGGTTTTGTGGCCCAAAATGGGAGGGGGTGGTCCCCTCTCCTCCTGTCTTGCTTGCATGTCTTGTTGGCCTACCAAATGAGCATGCATTTCTCCTTCTATTAAGCTGAGTTCAAGCATGTTTTTGTGACTTTTTAGACCTGCTCTAACTCTGTTTTGGCTTGGTTGAGTCACCTTATGCATGTTTCTTACACTTGTAGTGTAATTTTGCTAATAGGCCTTGTTTGCTTGATGCTTTAACCCACTATTCTAGCTTATTTTGGCTACACTCCAGCAAGCTTTTACTCATGTTTTTCCATACTTAAGCTCTGTTTTAAGTGATTTTGTTCATACATGCCTTGCTTTGTATAGCTATAGTGTAAAGGCCTTTGACTAGCTTTGAGTTTCAAAGTCCCTAGCATGCCTTGTATGTGATGATTGCATGCCTTAGCCTCATTTCTCACATGATTTCAGTGTATATAGCATGATCACAACCTCACATATTCTACTCTTTCATAGCTTTTATAAGTTGTGCCATATGCCTTATTTGTGAGCCAATACTTAAGCATGATTTTATTGCCTCATGAACTTCCATCTCAGCATGTTTTGGCCTTTATTCTGACATGATTGAGCTCTATCTAGAGTTGCTTTGGTTATTTAGGCTATGTATTGCATGCCTTTTGTGTGAATGCCTTAACTAGCTTTGAGTTTTAGGGCCTCTTGCATGTTATACATGTGAGGTTTTCATGATATTTCATCACTTGGCATGTGATTTCAATGTTTGTATCCCTGCCATACTCTCATATATATCACTCTTTTAATGTGATTGAAAGTTGAGCTTTGTGCCTTGCTTGCAAGCCATAAGTTGAGCAGGCTTTTATTGCTTCTTATGCTTAAGTTTTAGCACATTTTGGCCACCTTTTTAGCATGCATGAGGTCTGTTTAGGGCTAGTTTAGTCCATTGAGCATTGCATGGCATGGTTCTAGTGTTGTGTCCTTCACTAGTTTCAATGCTTAAGTCCCTTAACATGTTATGCATGCGTTGTTTGCATGTTTGAGTCTTGTGTTTCATGCCATATCAGCATTGAACATCTGCGCCCCCCTGTAGACACCCCATTTTTTACTGCCCTCAAGACTTGGACGTCACCGTTTGAACACTCGGTGATCATCCATGTTTGTGTTCGTTTGGAGTTCCCGGAGGCCTCGGCTCGCGCGCCTTGCCTCAGGATCCCCGAACTCGGCTGTTTAGTGTCTGGTTTTGCACCAAACACTTTTGTTTTGCCTTAGAGGGGCAGGGAATGCCTTGTGAGACATCCCCATACACCACCGGCAGTGGCTGGAGGCCACCGGCTGGTCTTTTTCTTCCATCGGCAATTTTGTTTGCCGGTCGGCACACTGTATTGCCGGTCGGCATAATATGTTGCCGGTCGGCACTGTTTTTTGCCGGAATAGCTTTTTTGGGCAGCCGACCACTGTTCCTCCACTTTTTGGAGATATTTTGTGCCAGCTGTGATAGCTGGCACCAACTCCTTTCCCCTCCATACACGTGTATGGAGGGATTTCCCTCTAGCCAAGCTTGTTGAATAAGCTTTGCAAGAGGGATCCTTATAAGAGCCAATACTTTCTTTTCTCTTCTTATTCTTTTTTCTTTTTTGGTCGTTGTTTTGGTTCTTTAGCTCTCCATTTTAGGTTTTTTCTTTCTCTTCTCCATCTTTATTTCAAAGCTTATTTTTCTAATTTAGTTCTTCCTCATCTTTTTCTTTTTCTTTTTCAATTCTTTTGGTTTGTCTCTTCTTCTTCTTCAATAAGTCTTTTAAGAATTAAAGATATTTAGAAGAATTAATGAACAATCAATTTAATTAAGATATGACAGAGTTGCTTATTCTTACTTTGCTTTAGTTTCTAGACTAGAAATGGTAATAGGTCTTTTAAAAGATATTTTATCCCAATGACTTCACAGTACAAGAAAAACTTCAATTGAAATTTTAGATGCAAAACTATGAGATTCATAATCCTTATACATCTCATATTTTAAATGTTATCAATAATTTTTGAGTTGTGCCAAGTGTTAGTATAAACATGAAAATCAACATATTTTGTCTTATAGATAGATTTGTTCATCTTGCTTTACTTTTACTTGTTTATGCAACAACAGAATGTCTATTTATTTTGCCATGACAATTATCAAGACTAAATTGTGTAATGGGATTAAGGATGAATTTTTAGCAATTTACTTAATCGCATGCTCCTTACAAAATTTGCAGGTACATGTATAAACTTCTCTCCCAATGTTTGAATCTTGTGTTTGTCTCTAGTATAATCAAAATATTATATTAATTGAAGAAAATAATTTTTTTTGAAATAAATTTAATTTAGATACTAATTAAATTTTTTGTGTTTTGAAATACCACTTAATTGAAATTACTACAAACTGTAGGATGTTGATTAAGGTAAATACATACCTTCAGTGCCGTGCAATTTCTCATCTTTTTTATCATAAACAACATTGTACTGGATATGCTCTCAATTGCATGCACCTCTTTTTTTTTTCTTTTTTTTTAATCAGCAAAATAAACTTTTATGGATGATATAAGAAGTGAATACATCAATAAAGATAAGGATGAGAGAGAACAACATTATAACGAAACAAACCAATCCCAATTTGATTGGTACTAGGATGGACGCCCAATCACTTACTATTGCCCCATGAAGTTGGTGAGCGACCAAGCAGCACAACAAACAAAATCACAAAACAAAAGTACAAAACCCACAAGCCCAAACCCAACCAGCCATACTGCTTCATAGGGACACCGTAATGCCAACTCCAGCAAGGCTTCAGATTCAGCTAAGCTGGTAGCTCCCCTCAATTGCATGCACTCTTTTTTTTTTGATAACCGGGTTTTCGGGCTCCGATTGTAGACTCGACTAATCCCGGGGCCCTGGAGTTACCGACCGGGCCAACCTCCAATGGCCCCTAAAGGGTGGCTCGAACTCGAGACCTGTGGATTTTATCCTCCAAACTTTACTGCTCGGCCACTATCCTTGGGGTTTCAATAAGCATCAAGTTGTGAGACCCATATCAACTTTCTAACACAGACAAGTTTTTCCATAAAACATATCCTTCAAAAAGTACAAGATTTTGTAGGTACACTTTTTCCTTGACTATTTTTAAAAATGATTCCTTAAGCCTGAAAAGAAATCCAATGAAATGCCACACTAACAGAGATTTTTTCCTCCTACAAATCATACAATTCAAGACAGGACATTGTTGGCAATGCAAACTATGTTCATATTGCGCAACACATTTATATCTTAAGGTGGTAACCATATTTAGATAGTGAACGGTGATTTCAAATCCATTCAAACACAAATCAACAGTTAATTAGTTACCAGATCAAAAAAACATTGGGTAATTCAATCAATCACTGCCAAAATCTTCATAACTCAAGCCTTCTGATATCGTGTCCAACCTCTTATTGTCCCCTGACAGGCCAGGACACACATATCAGTAACCCTCTTTGTGATTAGAGACAATGACAAAATGATAAAACTCTCACCTTGTTCTCCCCTGCCATGTGGATCCAAGAAGTTGTCTGTATCTGCTGCTAGGAAGGGTGATCTGGAGTAGGTCTCCAATATATCTGGATAAAAAAATAAAAAACTAAAAATATAAAAATATAAAAAAAGTGGACAATTAATACTAAGCAAATCCTGAGGTTCATAAAATCATTGAGTCCAAGTCATATGAAACCGACAACCTGTTGGTTGAATGGTATCAAGTTTGCCTTAAGAAATCCAAGTTAGTAAAAGGATTGAGTTCAAATCAAGAAAATTGGTTCAAACAAAGGATTAGGGATTCTTCTATCTTTGGGCAAAAAATAGACAAAAATAAAAGCAGGATAAGAAAGAAGAAATGAAATGAGAAAAGCATATAAATTTGTATAATAGTGAAGAATAACATGAGTCAAATCCTCCATTTATCCAACTCGATTGCACATCCTTGGCCTGAACAAGCTAGCTCTCATTAAATTATGAAAAATATGACACACACAACCATGTACACACACACACACAAGCACTCCATTTACCCAATCCGATGCACATCCTTGGCCTGAAGAAGCTCTCATTAAACTATGAAAATATGATAGACACACGACCATATGCACACACACACACACGCGAGAGGGAGAGAGAGAGAGAGAACAAACCAGCACTATTAGAAAAGTCAGCTGTCAAATCTGAAAGACTGAAGTTTCTAGGAATCTGCCCTAAAAATCCAAATGACGAACTGTCGGCATCCAGGAGTGTTTCATTCAGGGGATGTGAATTCGATGCCACACTACTGAAAGATGAAACAGATGTGTCCCCAATTGCAGGCCGTGATTTAAGGACATTGCCTTCATTACCAAACATGTACGAGGAATTGCCTGCATAACCAGCTTCTGATTTGATCATCACCCCATTCATTCCTTGTATCATTCCCGCAGTTGAGCTCTGAGCCAAAAAAATGTTTGGTGAAACATCAATCCTTCTGGCATGAGCAGACATATCAACAACATTTTGCATGCATGGGTCTAGTGATGATGACCCACCATTGGGAAAAGAGTTGGGGAAACTTGAATTGATAGGTTGGTGCATGTTCTCCACCTTCAGAGGCGGTCCGACATGTTCTGGAGCATAGTAGGCTGAGTTCTGGTGCAATGGTGGGACATGAGATCCATTAGACATAGGTATGGAAGCAACTCCAGGTGGGCACATCTGATCCATCAGCTCAATTTGTTTCTGAAGTAACCTGTTGAATTGCATTATTTGGTCCTTCACCATCAATCTTAAATAATATGCCTTGAAAAAGTCCCGATTTTCATCTTCAAGCTTTTGCCAAACAAGTTCAGTAAAATCAGGTTCTATTTTTGCCTGAACCAAGAGAGTATCCACGACTTCTTTTTGGCGCATGTAAAGTTGTAGGCATCGCTCTATAAGATTTTGCACCAGTTGTATGTCTTCCCGTGAGACCTTTCTGACCTCTCCACTAGACATTTTCCCAAGAATTAAATCAAAGAGATAGTTGCAAACAAAATTTATGCCAATTCGCTATTCATGCTACAGTAAGTCGCATATGGGTTATTTCCTTCAGCTTTTGCTGATGAAAATTATCGTAAGTAATATGTATCACCTGGTTTTGATTCGGAGTAATCGCAGAATTTCGAATTTGCAACTCTCTATAGAGAGAGAGAGAGAGAGAGACGGTGGCGGTACCCGGAGTTGCAGCAGCGGGCAGTGAGCAAACAAACGAAGCTTTGGTTGACGAAGATGCAATCTGTATCTGTAGTAGGCCGAAATGAAACACTGGTTGCGAGAAGAGTTGGCGTCAATTCGAGCTAGCAGTGGTTTGAGTTGCTGCAGTGGTTATTGGCGGTGATTGGAGAGGAGGTATGTGTTGGAGGTTTCAATTGGTTGAGGTCTGGCAGGCGGTTAAGGCAAAGTTGCCGCCCGCCAGAAGGCGAAGAGCACCAAGAGCTTAACTGTTAGAATTTACCATCACCTACCATACACTTACCATCACCTACCACACACTCACCTACTCCTCACCTACCACCACCTAACCTACATCTATATAATCAATCAATTGTAACAGAATCAAAAATCAATACACATCAATCAATAATATACATCAATTTTTCTTACATGGTATCAGAGCAAGGTTGAGAAGCTACTAATTCTGCTTCACCGGCGGGCGGCAGCCTCGCTTTGGCCGCCCGCCGGACCTCTACACATACCTTCCCATCGTTGCCCTTGACCTCTCATTTTCATAGCCAAATCTCCTACAAATACAGAAAGATCTCTCTCTCTCCTCATTTTCTTCGATCACAGCTTCAGATCTCTCTCTCAACCATTACAGTCATCTCCATCAATGGCTTTTGTTGCTGGATCTTCGATGTCAATGACCTCCTTTTGATGCTCATTCAAGCAAAACCAGGTTGCGCCCAGTGACGCATCGATTTCGGATTTCGTGTGCGGCCAAACCAGAGACAGTAGACAAAGTGTGTGAAATAGTGAGGAAACAGCTGGCACTACCAGCTGGGACTGCAGTCACCGGAGACTCAAAGTTTGCAACACTTGGAGCTGACTCTCTTGACACGGTGGAGATTGTGATGGGACTGGAGGAGGAATTTGGGATCAGCGTGGAAGAAGAAAGTGCCCAGAATATTGCGACTGTTCAAGATGCAGCAGACCTAATCGACAAGCTCATTGAAAAGAAGGCTTAATTACTTTGCAGGAAAGTTCTTTTTTTTCTTTCTCATTTCACACAAGAAGATACCCTAGACTGGGTCAAAAAAGGACAAGAGAAGAATGCTCCATGTTGTATAATCAAAAGACTGGTCCATGAATTGTGCTGGTAGGCCCTACCACTAGCAAAAGCAATTTATAATCATGAATTTTGCTCTATGAAAATCGGCAGAGAGAGCACATGCATATGTGTTGCTTTTCTCTCTCCCATGTGACTCCACTGTAAAAGGTCACCCAATATACACACACCCACGGGATTGACAGACCCACATGCACTTTCTGATGCCAACATTTTTTAATCAACCTCACTCCATTTTCTCTTATTTTAATATATCTATATATATATATATATCTATGTTTATTTTATTGCACAGACCATCCTCCTTTATACTTAAAAAAGTATTAGCTTTGACTTTAATATTCATATATATTGCATAGATATATAAAATTATATATTTTGAACATGTACCTTACGTGTCGTATCCTACATTTTTTAAAAATTTCTGTGTTGGCTTGTCGGTATCGTGTCCATATCATGTCACATTTCCGTGCTTCTCAGAGGCAATATCTTATGTCATCCTCTTAATCAGATATGTTTTTCTGATAATGGAAAAAATTAAAAAATGAAATTCAAGTGTTGCACAGGTGTTGCCTTTCTTTTCCCTTTTCTCTGTCATCATCCAATTATTTTTGTTCCTATTTTAATTTGTTATGATCTTCACTATGTTTTGCTCCTGAATTTTCTCCTTTTGTTTGAAGCTGCATCCCACCAAATGACCGACATTCTAAACAATTCATTTATCAATTATACTATTTTATTGGTCAAGGTGAAGGGGTGATATTCATTTACATGTGAGAAGATTGTATAATTGGGTTGCAACTATATTGCAGGAACTGAATATTGGTGGAAGTATTGTTGTGGCAGCTTTGGAAGAGGCATGCGGGACCAACAAATCTAAAATAAAGGAATTGTATGACAACTTAGGTGATCTTGGTAGGAAGAAATGGATTTTGTTTTAGTATTTGTTTTATGTTTTGATTTTGTTGCTAATTTCAAATTGGTGATGGTACTGACCATTATATGGTCCGCATAAAGGTGATGTTGCTCAACTTTGCCGACAAACACAGTCACTACTTGTCCCTCCACTGCCACTCTCAATCCAAGGTGTATTTTCCGTGCTTCGGAAGATAAGGTATGGAGTGTACAATACATAAATGTTAATTATTTTCCCTCAACCCCTTCTCCTTTTTGTTGTTTGTCTTTTTTGTCCTATAGAAGAGATTTGACAAAATCAGTGGTCAAGGCAATAAAAAGTTACACTGAACTATGGAGAGTTTGTTAATTGGATTTCACAATAATCTATAGGCCGAGTCAACTTTTTAGTTTTTAGGGGAATACTAAAGGTTGTCTTTGTCCTGTCTTGCTTATGTGATGATCACTGCATTTTTCTCTAGAATGTGTATTCTGTGTGGAGACCACCAGCATCCACATGCCTGATGCGATTAACAAAGACCACCTCTTGGATGCATTTGATTGTCAATAGAGGAAGGATTGAGTCTTTGAAGAATTTTTTTGTACTTGGTATTCTGAGGAAAATTTTTATGGTGGTAGAGTTGTTTTTATTTTCATTTTTAATTTAATTGAGCATATAGCCTTTGATAGAGTAGAATGGTCAAAAAGGAATCATATAGTTGACCCCACTTGATTGCACACAGCTTAGTTTAGAGGTGTCTTTATTTTTATGCTGAAACTCAACAGAAATTTGATTTTTGCTTGCAGATTTTTCAGTGATACCGGTTTGTGTAGGAAAGTTTGTGTCTGTGGAAAACTAGGCTTTTGTCTATTAAGGTGGTCGTGCTTTTGTCTGAAAGTTCTATTTCTCTTAGTAAGATCAAAAACATAAAACATTGTGTTAGAGGTGTTCTTGCCTGTAAGTAAGCTATTATTATTCACCCGCATTATTTTTATGTAGAAATTGTCAGTGAACAAACAGGTGGTGGAAGTACCGTTCGAAAGAAAAGCCTTGTTGTAAATCTCATGCGTTCTTGTAGAGAGAAGGAGATGAAGTTTCTTGTCAGAACTTTGGTAAGTTATGGATTGAAATAATGATATTTTGCACCTTAAACAAACAATGTTGGAAAATGAGAAGTGATTTTATATTTGTGTTAGTTATTGTGGAATTGGTTTTCTAGAGAACTTAAAGATGCATTTATGCTTATCTTGTGTGATTTCAAGTATGATTGTTGATTGTTCAGAATAAATTATGGCATAGAACATGGTTCCATTATTTCATACCACTTTGGTACATATTTTCTTAAAGTAACGACTTCTTTTGAAAAATGCAAGTATTCTCTTTTGGAATAGTCCCACCTTTTTTTTTTCTTTATTTATTTATTTGCATTTTGGGGATTTGCATTAAATTTTGATGTGTCTCACAACCGAAAAGAATTCAGGGGGTGACTTCATTTTTGGAGCTGGTATAGGTTCAAAGGGATGAGAGAATTAAGGATACCCAGTTACCCTCCAGAAACTTGTTAGAATTTCCCATCTTTACCTTCACCTACTCCACTACACACTCCACTTCACCTACCTCCACTTCACCACACACTCCACTTCACCTAACCCACTATCACCTCCACTACACCTACTACCACATTTTCTTCTATATATAGATTGTATAGGAATTGTAATCAATAAATCTTGTAATCTATCAATTAATCAATAATACATACATAAATTACATAAATTCTTACATGGTATCAGAGCCAGGTTGAGAATTTAGTGATTCCGCTACACCGGCGGACGGCAGCCTCGCCTTGGCCGTCCGCCGGACAAACCCAAAATTTTCTAATTCTCTTTCTCCTTCCTCAACAAACTGATTCATCGCCCAACCCGTAAATCAACGGTCCAGATTCACCCAAACCTCCTAGAACTTCTACGCCCTTTGATGCTTTGTTCAAAATGGGTGCTTATACATTGCTCTCTGAAGCCTCCCCTGTTACCCATTTCAAGAATTTCACTTCTAACCAAGCAATCCTCGAAGCTCTTGGCCATGTCGGCTGTGTTCATATCATCGATTTCGATGCTTTTGACCCAAGCTCTTATTCAATCCCTCCTGTCCGATCACCGAACGAGGCAATTGCCGTGAGTATTCCTATCTGGCCGTGAGTATTCCTTTCTGTTGCTGTTGCGCCGCTTCTGAGCTCCCATGCAATGATATCATCATCAACTGCCGCCGCTCGTTTTGCGGTGGTGCCGCCTCCACCGCCAGCGTTTCTGCCGTCACTGCCTTCAAACTTAGGCCCTCCGATTTATATCGGACAGCCGCTGCATGTTGGTGGCCTCAGTGGCCCTGCTGCTGCTGTATCTTACGGTAGTCATTTATCTTGTAAATCAACTTCGGGGGACTTGGATCTCAATCTTCATCTAAATCTCCCTCTAATCTCTCTGTTCTGCGATCACGTGCTTTGAGTAGCCATGAGGGTGGCCTTTTGATAAAGATGTTGCCATTTCAATTAATCAATAATACATACATAAATTACATAAATTCTTACATGATTTTATAATATATAATATTAACTCACAGATTACACACTGTTTTGTTTTAAATCGTTTTTTTTTATTTCTTTCCTTTTCTTTATTCTCCACTCACTTTCTTTATTTGTTCTTTTATTTCCTTTACACCAAGACACCCATACACACACACCACTCATGGTTTATCTCTCTCTAAAGACCCACACCACTCACTTTCTTTATTTGTTCTTTTATTTCCTTTACACCAAGATACATGTGCCTTGTCCCCTCTCTCCTCCGTTTTTATTCCCAATTTATTATTTTTATTTATTTTTCTTTATTTCTTTAAACAAAAAAAAACAAAAAAAAAAAAAAAAAAAAAACAAAAAAAAAAAAAACAAAAAAAAAAAAAGCACACCAAACTCAACGTCATTTTATTCATCTCAGGGGATCCACCCCGCTCACACTTTTACATCAAAAAAAAAAAAAAAAAAAAAAGAGTGTGTGGTGAAGTGGAGGTAGGTGAAGTGGAGTGTGTAAAAAAACAAACAAACAGGTGAAGGTAATGTGGTAGTAGGTGTAGTGGAGGTGATAGTGGGTTAGGTGAAGTGGAGTGTGTGGTGAAGTGGAGGTAGGTGAAGTGGAGTGTGTAGTGGAGTAGGTGAAGGTAATGTGGTAGTAGGTGTAGTGGAGGTGATAGTGGGTTAGGTGAAGTGGAGTGTGTGGTGAAGTGGAGGTAGGTGAAGTGGAGTGTGTAGTGGAGTAGGTGAAGGTAATGTGGTAGTAGGTGTAGTGGAGGTGATAGTGGGTTAGGTGAAGTGGAGTGTGTGGTGAAGTGGAGGTAGGTGAAGTGGAGTGTGTAGTGGAGTAGGTGAAGGTAAAGATGGGAAATTCTAACAACGCTTATCTCTGCTCGCGCATCCTTATACATGCGTTGGAGCAGAGCCAGCTGGGAGTTTAAATGCTGCACCTCATTTGTCCTACTCTGCAGCCGGTTCGACAAGTTTGTGACCGCCGTCATGCTTTCCACACATGCCTTCAGAGTATACTGATTGGCCTCCACATCCGACTGCATTGCCATTCTTTGCTCCACCGACCGCATCGGAAAGTTCAACGGAGCAAACTCCGGGGCGCTTGGTTGAGTTTCCAGTGCCACCGCACCAGTTCTCTCTCTTGTTGACCCGTTGAGGTCGGGAAAGAAGGTGAGCAGTCCACGGGAAGACGAGGACGAGGCCATTTTCTGGGCAACAGAGTGTTACAGAATATCTCTCGCAACAGAGTGTTACAGACTCTCTCTCTCAGCACAGCGAAGAGTTTTTCAGACTCTCTCTCAGCACAACGAAGTTTTTCAGAAGTTTTTTCGCAGCTTTTCTCTGCCTCAGCCTCAGCATCAACCTTGGTTAAATAGCCAAGGCAGCCACGCGCATCGCGTGCCTCTTGCCACCAGCCGACAATCGGGCACGCAAGCCAAGGCGCCCACGTGCCTCGCCATCATGTCCGGCACACCTTTTGATGAATTGGGCACGCCTTTTGATGGCACGCCTTTTGACAAAATTGAGCACACCTTTTGAGGATGCCACTTTTCCAAGGGTCCGACAAGACTCTATAAACTGTCCCGACATTGATTCCGGTTAGCTCCTTCATGGGTCCGACAAGACTCTGTAAACTGTCCCGACATAGATTCCGGTTAGTTTCTACAAGGGTCCAGCAAGACTCCGTAAACTGTCACAACAACTGTCACAACATTGTCTGCTACAACGGTCCGACATGACCCCATAAACTGTCTTCTACAACGGTCCGACACCACCATCCAGTGTCCTCTACACCGTTATGACACCACCATACAGTGTCCTCTACAACGTTATGACACACCCCTCCAGTGTCCTCTACCCCGTTATGACACAACCATACAATGTCCTCTCCACCGTTATGACACCACCCTACAGTGTCCTATACACCGTTATGACACCACCATCCAGTGTCCTCTACACCGTTATGACACCACCATACAGTGTCCTCTACAACGTTATGACACACCCCTCCAGTGTCCTCTACCCCGTTATGACACAACCATACAATGTCCTCTCCACCGTTATGACACCACCCTACAGTGTCCTATACACCGTTATGACACCACCATCCAGTGTCCTCTACACCGTTATGACACCACCATACAGTGTCCTCTACAACGTTATGACACACCCCTCCAGTGTCCTCTACCCCGTTATGACACAACCATACAATGTCCTCTCCACCGTTATGACACCACCCTACAGTGTCCTATACACCGTTATGACACCACCATCCAGTGTCCTCTACACCGTTATGACACCACCATACAGTGTCCTCTACAACGTTATGACACACCCCTCCAGTGTCCTCTACCCCGTTATGACACAACCATACAATGTCCTCTCCACCGTTATGACACCACCCTACAGTGTCCTATACACCGTTATGACACCACCATCCAGTGTCCTCTACACCGTTATGACACCACCATCCAGTGTCCTCTACAACGTTATGACACCACCATACAGTGTCCTCTACAACGTTATGACACCACCATACAGTGTCCTCTACAACGTTATGACACCACCATACAGTGTCCTCTACAACGTTATGACACCACCATACAGTGTCCTCTACAACGTTATGACACCACCATACAGTGTCCTCTACAACGTTATGACACCACCATACAGTGTCCTCTACAACGTTATGACACCACCATACAGTGTCCTCTACAACGTTATGACACCACCATACAGTGTCCTCTACAACGTTATGACACCACCATACAGTGTCCTCTACAACGTTATGACACCACCATACAGTGTCCTCTACAACGTTATGACACCACCATACAGTGTCCTCTACAACGTTATGACACCACCATACAGTGTCCTCTACAACGTTATGACACCACCATACAGTGTCCTCTACAACGTTATGACACCACCATACAGTGTCCTCTACAACGTTATGACACCACCATACAGTGTCCTCTACAACGTTATGACACCACCATACAGTGTCCTCTACAACGTTATGACACCACCATACAGTGTCCTCTACAACGTTATGACACCACCATACAGTGTCCTCTACAACGTTATGACACCACCATACAGTGTCCTCTACAACGTTATGACACCACCATACAGTGTCCTCTACAACGTTATGACACCACCATACAGTGTCCTCTACAACGTTATGACACCACCATACAGTGTCCTCTACAACGTTATGACACCACCATACAGTGTCCTCTACAACGTTATGACACCACCATACAGTGTCCTCTACAACGTTATGACACCACCATACAGTGTCCTCTACAACGTTATGACACCACCATACAGTGTCCTCTACAACGTTATGACACCACCATACAGTGTCCTCTACAACGTTATGACACCACCATACAGTGTCCTCTACAACGTTATGACACCACCATACAGTGTCCTCTACAACGTTATGACACCACCATACAGTGTCCTCTACAACGTTATGACACCACCATACAGTGTCCTCTACAACGTTATGACACCACCATACAGTGTCCTCTACAACGTTATGACACCACCATACAGTGTCCTCTACAACGTTATGACACCACCATACAGTGTCCTCTACAACGTTATGACACCACCATACAGTGTCCTCTACAACGTTATGACACCACCATACAGTGTCCTCTACAACGTTATGACACCACCATACAGTGTCCTCTACAACGTTATGACACCACCATACAGTGTCCTCTACAACGTTATGACACCACCATACAGTGTCCTCTACAACGTTATGACACCACCATACAGTGTCCTCTACAACGTTATGACACCACCATACAGTGTCCTCTACAACGTTATGACACCACCATACAGTAATATACATCAAATTTTACATGGTATCAGAGCAAGGTTAAGAATTTAGTATTTTTCGCTTCACCGGCGGGCGGCAACCTCGCTTTGGCCGCCCGCCGGACCTCAACCTATTCCGCTTATGTTCTACACATACCTTTCCATCACTGCCTAAATCCTCTCTCCTTCACCACCGCTGCTTCCTAGTTGATGAATCTGTTCTGAGAAGGTCCCAAGGCAACAAAGCAAGTCACAACACTCCAAAACTTTTCCCAGTCCCTACTTAAAGCTCAAGACTATATCCACATTCATAGATGTGGCAATCTCTTTAGCTTTTTCATCATCAAAACCAAGGGCAGCCATTATTTTATGGCCTGCTGATTCTTTTTCCGACCAAATCACCTGATTTCAGTTTCTCATCAACAGCCCAATCAAGAGCCCTCTGAGCTGGTTCGGTTAATGGAGGATGCTCGGGGCTAAAAAAATAAAAATAAAAAAAAAATACAAGTCAGACCTTCCAAGTAAGTTTACAGTTTCATCTCGCACTTTGAAAAGAGTAATTCCATTTGCCCTCAAAAAATTTTGCAGCTAAACTGGTTCCCTCAACCAAGATACCCATCAAAAGAGCTTCAGTCCCAGTATTTGGATACTTGAGCTTCCTCGCTTCTAGCTCGGCCATCGCGAACGACTTTATAGCCCTCGCCGACCATTTTGGAAGTTTTTCAGAAGAACCCCTCTCTGGTTTCGCAGTTGGGAGGCTAAACGAGACCGTGGTGACCGTTGACGGGCGGTGATTTGACAGGCGAGGCGATTCCAGGGGTTGGTGGGCTGAATTGAGAGATGGGTTCCGATGAAAGAGCTTAGCGAGTTGTCTGGTTTGAGAATCAGAGGATGAGGTAATGGAAAATTGTCGGATTTCCTAAAAAAAGAAGGCATTGGAAGTAGTGATATGGCATTAGTGGCCATTAATTTGAAGAAACCCTAGGCTTCGTGAGGAAAAGCTCTGTGTTGATTGCCACCACCTCCAAAGGAATGCCCACATGGCAATATCACAGCGTCATCCATAAGTGCTCCTGTCAGAGGATCCGAAAGAATCATCCTTAGAGACCCACACCCTCCCACTTTCTTCC